TGAATTTCCAATGAAATTATATGGGTGGAACTGAGAGATATAAAAGAGATGATTGCCTTGTTGGGATTGTATTATAGGCTCCCCAATAGTCAGCAGGAAATTGAGAAGCAAGTATGTAAGGAGATCTCAGATGTCTGCAAGAATAATAGGGCTGTAATGGTAGGGGATTTTAATTTTCCAAACATAGATAGGGAATGTCATAGTGTTAAGGACTTGGATAGGGAGGAATTTGTTAAGTGTGTCGAACAAATGTTCTTATTCAATATGTGGATGTAGCTACTAGAGAAGGAACAATACCTGACCTTCTGTTGGGAAAGAAGGCAGGGTAAGTGACTGAGGTGTCAGTGGGGGAGCACTTTGGGGCCAGTGATCATAATTCTATCAGTTTTAAATAGTTATGGAAAAGGATAGAACTGAGCAAAATGTTAAAATAGAGTATGGCCAATTTTGACACTATTAGACAGGAACTTTCAAAAATTAATTGAGAGAGGTTATTTGCAGGTAAAGGGGCAATTAGGAAGTTGGGGACCTTTAAAAATGAGATGATAAGAGTTCGAATCAGTATGTTCCCGTTAGTGTGAAGAGCAAGGCTGGTAGATGTAGGGAATGCTGGATGACTAGAGAAATTGAGGCTCTAGTCAAGAGAAAAAAGGAAGCATATGTCAGGTATAGACAGCTCACATCGAGTTAATCCCTAGAGGAGTTTAAGGGAAGTAGGATATACTTAAGAGGGAAATCAGGAGGGCAAAAAGGAGTCATGAGATAGTTTTGGCAAATAGAGTTAAGGATAATCCAAAGAGGTTTTATAAGTACAGTAATGGTGAAAGTAACTGGAGAGAGTATAGGACTCCTTACAGATCAACATTGCCATCTATGAGTGGAACCGCAGGAGATGGGTGAGATACTAAATGAATACTTGTCATCAGTATTTACTCTGGAGAAGGATGGAAGTTAGGGAACTTGGGGAAATAAATAGTGATGTCTTGAAAAGATTTCATATTACACAAGAGGAGGTGCTGGAGTTCTTAAAGTAGATACATCCATGGGACCTGATCAGAAGTTTCTCAGAATTTTGTGGGAAGCTAGAGAATAGATTGCTGGGCCCCTTGCTGAGATATTTGTATCATCGACAGCCATGGGTGAGGTGCCAAAAGACTGGAAGTTGGTTAATGTGGTGCCATTATAGAAGAACAGCTGTAAGGAAAAGCAGAGCTCCTATAGACTGGTGACCCTTCAGCCAGTGGTGGGTTTAGTTGTTGGAGGGGATTCTGATGGGAAGAATTTACATGCATTTGGAAAGGCGTGGTCTGATTAGGGATGGTGAACATGGCATTTTGCATGGGAAATTGTGTCTCACTAACTTGAGTGAGTTTTTCGAAGGAGTGACAAAGAAGATTGATCAAGGCAGAGATGTAGATAAAAACCAAAAGAATTGCGGATGCTGTAAATCAGGAACAAAAACAAAGTTGCTGGAAAAGCTCAGCAGGTCTGGCAGCATCTGTGAAGGAAAAAACAGAGTTAACATTTCGGGTCCGGTGTCCCTTCCTCAGAATTCAGAGTTGAAGGGTCACCGGACCCGAAACATTGATTCTGTTTTTTCCTTCACAGATGCTGACAGAGATGTAGATGTCATCTTTATGGGCTTCAGTAAGGCATTCGACAAGGTTCTGCATGGTATATTGGTTAGTAAAGTTAGATCACATGGGATCTGGGGCCGGTGGGTGTGGGGGGGTGGGGGGAGCGTGGTGTGCTGCCAATTGGATAGACACTTTGCTTGAAGATAGGAGACAGAGGGGGGTGTACTGAATTGTTTTTCCGACTTGAGGCCTGTCACCAGTGGTGTGCCACAAGGATCGGTGCTGGGTCCACTGCTTTTTGTCATTTATATAAATGATTTGGGTGTGAATATAGGAGGCATGGTTAGTAAGTTTGTGGATGACACCAAAATACGTGGTATAGTGGACAGTGAAGAAGATTTTCGCAGAGTACAATGGGACCTTGATAAGATGGGCTAATGGGCCAAGGAGTGGCAGATGGAGTTTATTTTAGATAAATGGGAGTATTGCGCTTTGGAAGGCAAACCAAGGCAGGTCTTAAACAGTTAATGTTAGGGCCCTGGGGAGTGTTGCCAAACAAAGAGACCGCGGTGCAGGTCCACAGTTCCTTCAAAGTGGAGATGCAGGCAGACAGGGTGATGAAGAAGGTATTTGGCATGCTAGCCTTCATTGGTCAGAACAATGAGCATAGGAATTGGGACATTATGTTGTGGTTGTACAGGACATTGGTGATGCCACGTTTGGAATACTGCAAAAATTCCAGTCATCCTTCTATAGGAAGGATGTTAAACTTGAGAGGGTGCAGAAAAAAAAATTACAAGTTTGTTGCCAGGACTGGAGGGTTTGAGTTACAGAGAGAGGCTGAATAGGCTGGGGCTTTTTTCCCTGGAGTTTTGGAGGCTGAGGGATGACCATATGGAGGTTTATAAAATTATGAGAGGTATGGATCGGGTGAATAGCCCAAGGTCTTTTTCCCAGGGTAGGGGAGTCCAAAACTAGTGGACATAGGTTTAAGGTGAGAGGGGAAAGATTTAAAAAGGATGTGAAGGAAAAATCTCTCACACAGAAGGTGGTGCATGTATGGAAAGAGCTGCCAGATGAAGTGGTGGAGGCTGGTACAATTACAACATTTAAAAGGCATCCGGATGGGTATATGTACAGCAAGAGTTTTGAGGTATATGGGCCAAATACTGGAAAATGGGACTAGGTCAGATTGCAATGTCTGGTCGATGCAAACAAGTTGGACCGAAAGGTCTGTTTCTATGCCGTATGACTCAATGATTCTAATATTTTATACTGTGATAAGAGAGGGCTGATTGGTTGACAAGTGGCCTCTAATTGGTAACGACATTGCCACAGAGAATGCACCGGGTTGATAATGACTGACAGTTAACTGCCATGTTTTGTTTAAATTTGAATCAGACAAGTTAACTTGGTCAGTTGCAGCATTACTTGAGGAATGAACCAGAGAGTGGCTGAGCCTTGGTCTGTTAAGTTGAAGTGGGCACAATGTGTGTATGTATTCTTTCTTCCTGCACATAACAGGGCCCTGTGCATGAAAGATGTGGTTTCCAGTATGTACAAGTCCACCGCACTGTAAGCCAAACTAACAAACTTAAATTGCTTAACACTGAAATTTGTAGCACACTTGGGATTATTTAGCAAATATTGTCTGATTTCAGAATTATACCTAATATTTAGCACTGTGTTTTCAGTTTGCAAAGACTGGTTGGCTGGGAACCTACTCTGCAAACAGCCGAATTGGTCAGTCATGTCATTCTCAGCATATCTAGGATAATTTTGTAAATTTGTTTAATTGTGGCATCAAGTCTAATGTTGGACATTGTTTTGAGTTTTGCGAGCAAAGGCAAATTAGGTACGGTCAATAACTAATCTGTTGCAAATACAAAAAGGGACATGCTGTTCATCATGAACTGATGTATTGTTCTGGAGGTATTGTCTACATACTGAGCATAACACTGGCAATGAAAATCAGCTACTAAATTAGTAACTTGTATGATAGGTAGAGGTCTTTTTTGGTTTCACAGCGGCATCCAGTTAGCAGTAAACACCACTCGTGCTGATACTGCAAAGCAGCAGCAGGCAACAGCTGTGTATTTCAGCAATATTCAAGCTCTATACTACCAGTAACTAACTGTCACTTAAAAGATTTCTGAAGAAATTGTATGGTCATTAAACAATTTTGCCCTTGTCGTCAATATACTCATAGGATGAGGAAAGGAGCTTAAACAATGGCAGAACACAGAGGCTGTGGTGAAAAATAGCATAATGTCTTGATGATATAGTTTGCAATCATGATGTCTGAAACATATTTAGATTTTATAGATGAATACATACTTTTCGAAAATGTATAATCTAGGCTGTCACTTCAGTCCAGTACTGATGGAACGTTGCACTGTTGGAGGTGCTATTTTTGGAATGCAATATTAAACAGGCCCTACCCGCCATAAAATGTTCCACAGGTAACAGGTTCTTCATAATGTCCTGGAAAATATATATCCCTCATCCGACATCACTGAAGTTGATTAGCTGGCTATTAATACAATGGCCTATTAATATTGATGGCCAGGTACAGTTGCAGCAACATAGACTGGATTTGCACACTGGGACCATGCAGGAAGCTGACTCCACATGAAATATCAGGAAACTGAAATTTCTTCACGGCAATTAGCCTGCTTGGTTTCTGGAACTGCTTCAAAAAATCCATGACACTCAGTGATTTGAGAAGATTCTGGTGTGCATATGATTCAGAGTTACTCAAAAAAAGTGTTTGAGAATTAAAAACCTGCTCAACACCTGGGTAACTGTTAATCAGAACCTCCGATGAACTCTGATTATCCCCTCCATATCTACAGCCACTCCCTCCCATCCCCTGACGCTGCCAGATTTGACATTCCCACACCTTGACCCACCCTTTCCAATCAGACACTGCCCCGGGCTATTGCTTCTAGTGGAATGCCACTGTGTAGAATTGACCGCTGCATTTCCAACATTCCAGCAGTGACAACTTATCAAAAAGTACATAATTGGTTGTAAAACTCTTTAGAACATACAAAGCTCATGAAAAGTCTACAAAAATGCAAGTCATTCTTCTCAACAGTAACGTCTCTTGAAAGCAGGGTCTTTGGGAAAGGAAATCGTTTTGCATTTTCTTATATTTCAAGAATGAAAACTAAATGGAATTCTGAACTAACTTTGTCACTACTCAACATTAACTGTTCATATGTCCTTTGAGTTTTTAAACTGTCAGTAAATTTTGATAAAACATAATTCTTTCTGGCAGAAAATATCCTGAGTATCAGCCAGTCATCAAGAAGGGAACTGCTTCTCCAGTGAATTGTGAATAGATTGGGCACAAGAAGAAGGCAACTAAGATTTGGGAGCTACGGTCAAATTAATTGCAAGAGAAAGGAAGTAGTTTACCTTGTCCGGATCAGAGGCAGTAATCAGCCATACACAGTGTGCATCACTATCATATTGCACCGGGAAATTAGGGGATGAAATAACTCCAGTGGGACCATTCAGATGTGCACCACATACTCGAGCTGCAACAAGAGAGGCAGAAACAGTTGAGAATAATAGAATTGTGCTCAAAACACATGAAAAAAAAATGATGCTGGTAGTAAGCCTTGATGCCATTAAAAATATCATAGAATCCTTACAGTATGGAAGCAGGCCGTTTGGCCCATGAAGTCCACACCGACCCTCTGAACAACGGTCAATTCAGACCCACATCCCCACCCTATCTCTGTAGCTGTGCAGCTCCCATGGCTAATCCACCTGGCCTGCACATCTCTGGACACTATGGGCAATTCAGCATGGTCAATCCACCTAACCTGCACATAGAACAAAGAAAATTACAGCACAGAACCAGGCCCTTAGGCCCTCCAAGCCTGCACCAACATGCTGCTCGTCACAATTAAAACCCCCTACCCTTCCAGGGACCGTATCCCTCTATTCCCATCCTATTCATGTATTTCTCGAGACACCCCTTAAAAGTCACTATAGAATCTTCTTCCACTACCTGCCCCGGCATCTTTGGACTGTGGGAGGAAATCCACACAGACACGGTTGCCTAAGGGTGGGATTGAACACAGGTCCCTGGTGCTGAGAGATAGCAGTACTAACACTGAACCACTGTGCCACCTTACCTTAGGATATCATTAAAGTCAGATATAGTCAATTGTGGTCAATTTCAGTTGAAAGACAATAAGTACATTATATGTGTGACTAAACCAGGTGGCAACTTGAGAAACAAAATAGAATTGAAATATTTTCCAAAGCAATGGCAATGGCGTCAACTTCGACAGTAAAAGATGATATGGATCACATTAAATCTTTGTCCTCTTAGCAATTACTATATTTGCAGCCAAACAATCCCCAAAAATAACCTCAATTTGAGGAATTAGATGAGAGTTCTTTTTCTGGTCCAGTGAGGAAATTAGTATAAGTATAATGTGACAATTTCTTGCGAGAAAGTCAGTGAAAATGATGGAGTCAATCAGATTTTCAAGAGTGTAGAGAGAAGGCAAATTAAACTGACGCTTGGATTTAGATCCCAGCTGCAGCTCGAAATTTTTTTTTAAAGTTGGGCACGTATACTCTGGAGCACAGGTAGATTAGCAGAAACCAAATCAGAGTTTGTTAGCTCCAAGATGTACAGATAAACTGCATGCCTAAATGTTTTGACATAACCACAAAATGTGCAAATCAATAGAGGGAAAATGGGCAGCTTAATTTATCTACTTCAAATAGGGATGATGATCTGTGCAACACAAACTGTCTAAAGTGTATGTGCTTGCAGATTAAAGCTGGAACTTGTCAGTCAGCTCACTTGGTGAAATAAGCATAAAAGTCACAGAAGAGTATTAAAGGCTGATTCTGCAATGCTGTGCAGCAAACATCCAGGGAAATTACTGGCAAGCAGCCCATGAATTCCCACCTAGTCAAACCAGTCTCAAGCTCTGCATTGACCATTTCCTGCAATGAGTACTGAACACATGTATAATTGTTCTCAAAGGAAGGATATGATTGCAGAATCAGTACATTTTACGTTCTGGGATTGGCCAGATGGGTACATCGTTTTTCTAGTTTTGTATCATCTAATTACAAAATAATACTACTATACCCTCAGCGCTGAACAAAAATGATGATTATAATTAAATTCTCCCAGAATCATCAGTGAAACCACCAAAATGTTGATGCTTATCTAAGATTCTCTTCATATTCTCTTTAGTTTATCCGTAAAGCTCTATAAAATGAAAGACAAAGAGGAGGCTTCTGTCTGTACGCAAAAGAACGGCTATTACAACAGCGATGCTGAAAAGAACAGCTATGTACAAAAAAAAAGCAACATCTGCATTCTCCTCCCACTGACAAGAGATTTGGCCACATTCATTTTTCCAATTCAACTTAATGTTCTTGTTGGCCTGTGAATTCTACAACTTGTAGCTGCATTTCATCCTGCCAAAAATGAGGCCATCTGTGATTATCCCTCCAGGTACTCTATGCAAGCTGAATCAGCTCCTGTGGTGTGAATAAAACAAATTTCTCATGGTCTAATCACAGGCTTCAAGTATCACTTCCAGATAAAAAAAACAGAAAATTCATTGTGGGCCGTAAAAGAAAATTAAATTCAGTTACATTTTCTTGTCTGAATTCTGTCAGCAGCTTTGATCAAAGGGGCTTTGGTGTAGAGAAACTGAACATGTTCCAGTGTTGCTGGTTTCTCTTTGTGGGGAAAAGACAACGATGTGTATTCCTGCTATACAGATTTCAAAATATCGCATCAGAGCTAACAAAGTAGCTATTGCAGTGGGCAGAACCAGATCTAATAATAATCAAGCCAATATGTAGAAAAGCAAGACCTTGATTCAGCCAATTTTTGCATGAATAATTTTTTTTTTTAACTTATTCATTCATGGGATGAAGCTGTCGCTGGCTACACCAACGTTTATTATCCATCCCAGAGGGCAGTTAAGAGTCAACCATATTGCTGTGAGTTTGGAGTCACATTTAGTAAAGACCAGGTAAGGATGGTACTTTCCCTCCCTGAAAGATATTAGTGAACCGACTGGGTTTTCCAACAATTGATAATGGTTTCATGGTCATTACTAGATCTTTCCTTCCAGATTTTTATTAAATTTAAATTTCACCATCTGCCATGGCAGGATTTAACCCCAGGTCCCCAGAACACTATCTGGCTCTCTGGATAAACCACCTCGCAACAGTAACACTAAGCCATCATACTCCCCTAAATGCAACCACTATCATCATCATATACCAATTGCAATAATGTAAGCACAGTTTATTTTCATGTTGAATGGTGCAGCAACATGGAATTTGGGTAGAAACTAATGAACATCTCTAATGCAGTGAAATTAGTTGGTTCAAATCTGTCTCCACTTGTTTCCCAGCTCCAACAATCCTTGTAGCCTAATCCATAGTTTTTTTTTGTCAAGATCTATTTTATGACTCATCTTAAAGAATGGCAAGAACTCAGAACCAACACCATCTAATACCTTTATCTTCACCTACACCACATCCCCTGCTCTTCACCCACCTCCTTAACCTCCAGGAAAATTGTTGTCATGGTCATTTTGATGGGGAGGAAACAATCTTATCACCTGTACTTTTTATTCTATCACTGGATGTAGATATTGCTATCAAGACCAAAATTTGTTGCCCTCCCTCATGGTCCTTGAGTGGTGTCCTGGCCCATTTAAGAATAATCACATGGACATCTGCGGTTCTGGAGACCTCCGGAGTAGGCTGAGGTGGATTATCTGATTAACGTTTGTTGAAAAAAAAACACAGCAGTGACCACATCCATCTGACTCTAATTTGAAATCCAAATTTTAAAATATTATGTGTTATGTACCTGAAATCAAAAATCCTCAAAGGGAGAAAATAAAATCCTTAAAAGACATTTTTATTTTTAAATTAAAATTAATCACTATTTGTATATTAGGATCGCTAGCTTTCCTGAATTTGAAAGCCTAATTCTTCTGCTAAGGGAAATAGATCTCCCTTCTGAACTGAACTCCAAATTCTTTCTGTACTGAGGCCTTGAACTCTGATGTCAAAACGAAATTAATGACTTTCTGGTCTGTTGTAAACTCAGCTGTACAGACAGTCCATCCATTCACACTGCAGGGAATCTGCCACACGTGACTACAGTCACGTGTATTCTTTAAAATTAATGCAATTAGATGTCTGTTGCAAAGGACGATCTGACCTGTTTCGAAAAAAACACCTTCACAAAACTGACCCATATTCATCTACCTCTATTTTGAAACCCACATTTGAAAATATAATACATATTCTATACATCTTTCATCAGAAAGTAAACTTTCAAGGTTCGTGCTGCATGCTTACGTCCACTAAGAGCAGTTCAACTGAAACAAACAAAAAAGAGAAATTGCTGAAGAAACTCAGCAGGTCTGGCAGCATCTGTAGAGAGAAAACTGAGTTAACTCTTCGAGTAGAGTCACCCTCCTTCAGAACAGCTCAACTGATATGGCTTTAATCAATAGGACCTTTTATTGCCAACACAGAAGTCTTATTACCTCGTTATTTTTGTCTTTGCTTCAAACCCTGATATGAGACGGTAATTCTCCAACCCACAAACCATATACATCTGAAATCAATTTTAAATCTGAGCTTTGTTTCTGCAAGTTATGCACAACATACTGTAGAGTTTGTCATTTTGCAAATCACTGAGCAGAACAAGATATAGAAAACAAGACATAAATTGCTTGAGATGAAAATGCTATTATCTCATTTTTGCACCATTTTTGCTCCTGATATTTTAATTTTATTGCGGTCCATTAACTGATTACCATTTCCATGTACGAAATGAGACACTGAAATACTGAAGATCTGGAGGCTGGATTAATTTAGACTTCTTGTTTCTTTTCTATCTGTAAGACTTCTCAGTGACACTTTATTCACTCACCTTGATGGGCAAGAAAGTTCATGATTCAAAGAAAAGGTTTGAAAGTCTCCTGCTTCCTATCTAACATTTATTAGAAAACATCGCTAAAGCCGATTATCCAGTCATTTATTTAATTTCTGTCATGGGACCTTGCTTAGCAACAATTATCTACATTTTTTTGCTTTATTCAGGAGTCGTGAGCATCGCTAGAAAGGCCAGCATTTATTGTCCTTGTGGTGAGCTGCTTTCTTGAACCGCTACAAGTCCTTGGGAGTTAGATACACCCACAGTGCTGGTCAAAATGGAGTTCCAAGAATTTGATCTAGTGATAGTGAAGGAATGGCTATTTGGTTCCAAGTCAGGATGGCATGTGTGGCATGTGGGAAATTCACAGATGGTGGGAGTTCCCATCCTATTCACTCAAAGAGTTGTGAACTCGTGGAATTCTTTCCCACAGGAAGCTGTTGTGGCCAGTTCATTAGATATATTCGAGAGAGAGCTGGACGTGGCCCTTGCAGCTAGAGGGATCAAGGGGTATGGGGAAAGGGTGGGAATGGGATACTGAGATTGCGTGATCAGCCATAACCGTATTGAATGGTGGTGTAGGCTTGAAGGGCCGAATGACCTACTCCTGCTATTTTCTATGTTTCCATGTTACCTGATGATACGAAGGAATTACAAGACAGTGGACAGCAAACAAAACACATTTATGCTGTAGAAATACGGCATTGATTTAGTTGTTGCATTTATATACTATATATATATAGAAACACATACAAATGGCAGACAATCACTAATTGTGTATCCTGCTGTCCCTCTTACTTCAATGTTACTGAATTCAAGGCAACAATTAATTCTATTTTTGAGCGCTACAATTCCACTTTGATGCAAAGTTCAAATATTGGATAATTCTAAGGTTTATGAAAGTGACACTACCGTCATCTATTGCTCAAAATGCACTGTTTAGACAGTGGATATTTCAAAATGCTATTTGTATATGTTACAATTGGCGTTATCATAATATTGTGTCAAAGCTAAAGTGGAACTTTTTTTTGGGCTAGCATATTGTTGCTTGGGTACACAATTATCAAAAGTACCGAAACAAACTTCAAAACATAACCCAGTTTGTCATAACATTTAATTACAGCTCATTAGAAGCTATTCACACAACATCAAATTTAAATTTTTTAAACTTTGCAAGTAAAATTGTTTCTGCAGTTATTCTATTGCGGCCACCTATCTATTCAAAATGATTGATTTTTCATTCAGTCCCCACTCCTTCAATCATATGTTGACATGAAGGACACATCAAGTCACAGAATGAAGGGAAGAAGAAGAATAATGGTGCTGAACGACTGTGAAGGTGAAAGTTAGTCATCTGTTGCAGCACAGTAACTGTCAGTAATTTCTCACCTCGGCAGAATGGTCTGTGATCACTCCAAGCTGCGAATAAGTCAGACATTCTCATACAGGTTATGCTTTTAGACCCTTGCAATTCATAGCCATCATCACATGAGAACTGCACACTGGATCCCAGTCTAAAAACGGAGAGAAAGAAGCTGTCAATTCTTCACAACATGAGAGAAAATTTTATCTTTGTTACCATACTGTACTGCTATGTCATCTGCTGGAAGGATTCAATTGTTTATAACTTACAGCTTTAAAGATAGACATTTTAAAAATCCTTTTCTAAGTGGCACATTCTTATTGCAGTGACAAATGGTTACGACTGAGGCATGAAGCATTCTCCTTTATACCAAGCAACAAAGTTGAGACATTTCAATCATTTGAGGTTTAGATCATTTCTCCTACACTGTCAGAACTGTATACCACAAAGCCTTCTTGCTATCACTAATCTGTGAATATTGAATGACAGGTTGTCTGTGAATGTCAGGTTCATAGTAGTTTAATTTAAGTGGGACTCATGCCTCCCTTGAGATGAGATTAGGATTGTCAAAGTCCACACACTTGTGCAGCAGCCTGATATTAGCCAGATCAACAGCTCTCAGCTCCAAAACCTAAGAAAGAAGGTCAGCAATATTCAACTAAATCCACAGGAAGCAGCTTATGCCAGTTTCATAGAGAGAAATTGGGGCCTTGCGCACATTTGAACTCAGATATGTTTACAAATTAGCAAGGTTTTATTAGGGTTCAAGCTTTTCCAAATGCTGCAAAATGGGTCTACAGTAAAGAGGTGCTGGATGACAAGCGTGCACATGATGGACTGAAGGGCCTCTTCCAATGCTTAAATATTAAATTGCCAATGCATCAAAAATTTAGCAGAAACAATTCTTAAATTGTCCCAAGATCATTTGGCTGGAGATTACTTGCTTTTGTTGGCTGGAATCCTGTAAAAGTGAAAGTGGTCATAGCCTGTTCTCTTATTATAGAGTCAGAGACATCCAGTGGTCAGTTTAACCTGAGGATTACCATGCTTCAGGTGAGGGACTAAGTTGAGAAACAGAGGCATTCACAGTGACCTTAGCAAGTATAGGAATTGAAGGGTCACCGGACCCGAAATGTTAACTCTGTTTTCCTCCTCCACAGATGCTGCCAGACCTGCTGAGCTTTTCCAGCAACTTTTTTTTTGTTCTTGAATTGAAGCCACTCTGTTTGAGCCATTCTGCATTGCAAATCTGCCATCCGTCCAACTGCGCTAACCAACTGTAACCCAGCTGAGCATATTCACTTTCCATTGACACAGGAAAATGCTGCAGGATGAGTGCAGAGCGAGATGGTCAAATGCAAATACACAATTTGTGCAACTTCTCCCTGAAACAGAGAATCCAGCTTTCCAACTCTTTGATTTCACTCTCCTTTGTTTCTAAATGTGGACGCACATATCTGATACAATAGATTTCAAGAACAAGTTAATCACTTCAATTCGACATTTTCAAAGATAAACTTTTGTGAGGTAAACTAAGCCTCCATCACTGACCACTCGTCCACCCATTTGTTTTTGTTTCTCAGGGTAACTGCTTTAGTCATTCATGGATAAAGGTATATTGCTGTCATGCAATTCTTCTGCAATCATGCATGTGTGCTAGGAAACAAACATTCTGTGTGGAATCTATCATGTTAGAACCAAACTTTGACAAAAGGAAATATTATTCTCTTGCTGTTTAAAACTTCAATATACAGACACCTGACTGGAAAATTTCACCCATCAATTTACCAGCATTAAGTTATTTCCCAGCTCGGCTGGTGGATTTCCAAGGATTCATTTTCTACTCAGTAGGTGACTTCCACTTCTGGTCAGTGCTGATGTGGTTGTGAATTTTGCAGATAGATAATTCAGGCAAAGTTTCAATGAGCTGTAATTGCTGTTTCACTGCCCCTAATTCCAATTAGATGGTTGTTCAAATGTTTAGCTCTAAGCCCAATGGCATCTGGTATAGTTATAGTTTGGTGCATAAGTTTTCCTGTTCTTTCTCAATGCTCGAATACAACATTACTTTTTGCCACTGGCATTTGTTCAGGTTTCCAACTTTGCTCGGCCAATGCTGGTCCAATGTCACAGCATGTGCCAACAAATTCCTATAGCTTCCTTATTCCTTTTGCACATTTTGCTTCGCTATCGGATTCAAATCCACAAGTGATTTTGCAGTGCTATCTGCCCAGTTTGTCATTGTTTGTGTATTGCAATTGAAACCGCTTCTCTTAGAATGGAGCATCTGTGTTTTACCAAAGCTCTGCTTTTGTTTTAACTTGTGTTGGGCCTACTTTGGATTCAAGCAGGGATCAAGGCCCAGTACATGAACCGACTTGTTACTTTTTCAATTGGAAATCACATTCCAATTTTTGCACATTACTCTCTTGATCTCAGCCCCGTGCCTCTTCAGGGTGCCCATTTCTAAAATTCTGCCAATGAAAATCAGTGGAATTAACATCAGCTGGCTAGTAATGGGTGCGACTCGATTTCAGCTCCATGACTTTCCATGCTGACGGTAATATCGACATTCGTCGAAGTTTGAAGACCAGATGCTGTTTGAAATTAAAATTGAGGTAAAATACTGCAATTGCTTGAAATTGAAATATAAACAGAAAATGCTGGAAATATTCAGCAACTCAAGAAGCATCTGATAGAGGCAAATGGAGTTATATATTTCAGATCCACGACCTTTCATCAGGCTGGAAAGTTACAGGTGTAAAATATTTTGATTAAACAGTGAGGTAGGGAAAGGGCAACTAATGTAACTAGATTACATTTAAAATGAACCACTGTGAGTGGGAACCTTCACAACGGATAAAAATGCAGTTAAAAATGTTATAACTGCTTCATTTGTTTGAATACAACCAGGAAAGATAAAACCTCTTGAGACAACAAGGTGCAGGGCTGGATGAACACAGCAGGCCAAGCAGCATCATAGGAGCAGAGAGGCTGACGTTTCGGGCCTAGACCCTTCATCAGAAAAGGGGGAGGGGAAGGGGGTTTTGAAATAAATAGGGAGAGAGTGGGAGGCGGATAGAAGAGGGATAGAGGAGAGGATAGGTGGAGAGGAAACAAACAGGTCGAAGAGGCGGGGATGGGGCCAGGAAAGGTGAGTGTAGGTAGGGAGTTAGGAAGGGGATAGGTCAGTCCAGGGAGGACGGACAGGTCAAGGGGGCGGGATGAGGTTGGTCGGTAGGAGATGGAGGTGCGGCTTGAGGTGGGAGGAGGGGATAGGTGGGAGGAAGAACAGGTTAGGGAGGCAGGGACGAGCTGGACTGGTTTTGGGATGCGGTGGGGGGAGGGGAGATTTTGAAACTTGTGAAATCCACATTGATACCATTGGGCTGCAGGGTTCCCAAGCGGAATATGAGTTGCTGTTCCTGCAACCTTCGGGTGGCATCGTTGTGGCACTGCAGGAGGCCCAGGATGGACATGTCGTCTGAGGAATGGGAGGGGGAGTTGAAATGGTTCGCGACCGGGAGGTGCAGTTGTTTGTTGCGAACCGAGCGTAAGTGTTCTGCAAAGCGGTCCCCGAGTCTCCGCTTGGTTTCCCCGATGTAGAGGAAGCCACACCGGGTACAGCGGATGCAGTATACCACATTGGCAGATGTGCAGGTGAACATCTGCTTGATGTGGAAAGTCTTCTTGGGGCCTGGGATGGGGGTGAGGGAGGAGGTATGGGGGCAGGTGTAGCACTTCCTGCGGTTGCAGGGAAAAGTGCCGGGTGTGGTGGAGCTGGAGGGGAGTGTGGAGCGGACAAGGGAGTCACGGAGAGAGTTGTCCCTCCGGAAAGCAGATAAAGGTGGGGAGGGAAAGATGTCTTTGGTGGTGGGGTCGGATTGCAGATGGCGGAAGTGTC